CTCACTTCCTTTATTTCTTCTGGAGGGACAACTGAGTCTAGTGATCTAAACAGAAGGTCTCAACACCGCTGTTTCCTTTCTCTTGAGATAGCTCAGGATGGAAATGGAATAAATCCGATTTCTGAATCTTCTTTGTCTTCAACCACTTGGGAATTCTCTTTGAAACTACTTTGGGCATTTTAAGTAACTCTGCTTACCCAGCGGGAACAATGTACCTTTCAGCCAAGCGAGAGGATAAAATGACTCTGTCTCCCCGCCTTTGCATGCCTGACAAAAGCCTTAGCTATTAAATACCAGTACTCAGTGAGCTAATGACTGGTGAGCCCACAATTGAGTTTTCAGCATTTTAGGGTCTGAGCCTCTGCCCTGTATGAACTTGTAATCTTCACCGTGTAGCCTTGTTAAGTTTGGCTGTTGAGGTATATGTTGGCACACAAGACTAAGGAACGCCAAAGCCCAAAACTGACCTCTGCACATTTCACACCAGAAGTCAGAAAGTAGCTTTTCTTTTTTTCTTTTTTGCATTTTCCTCTCACCCCAATAAAAATATGATTGACCCATAGCGTGTTTGATGACCCTGTTCGTGTCCAACTCGTCCATCTGGGTGCAGACCAGCAGACGGGTAGTGGCTCTGCCTGGCCCTCTTGGCCCTGTGATTGTCCTTCCAAACCAATTTCCTTTCTCCAGTTTCACTAAGAAGAGGAATTCGAACTTCCATTTTAGGTTTCTCATTTTCCCTCTGGACTTTGTCTCAAGGTTTGTGACACATGGCTATGTAGTTCACTTGCTTTGGAACAAAGATCTCAGTGAGTTTTATGGAACATCTTTCCTTCCCCTGAAAATAAGCCAGGCTCTGAATTGTTCAGGGCAGCCTGGCTATTATGCATCTGAAAGTGATCTATTTATCCCCTCAGTGCATGTTGCCAGGAATGAGCTGGGGCTACAGTGGAGTAAGGCTCAGGTCCTGCTAAGGGAAAGGCAGTGCATGACAGAGCCTTCTGGAAGCCAGTGTGTGCGTGTAGGGGGTGTGGGGCATGTCTGAACAACTATACATACATAACTATACAGTTACCTGAACAGTATTCTAAAGACAGAGTTGACATTGGTATATTTGTCTTAGGACATCAGGACAGGCTTCATAGTGAAGATATAAAGTATTTGGGCTCAGGGCAGAACTGATAGGCTAGTATTATATTATGCTCTTAATATAATCATCTTAGAATCCGAATACGGTGTTTTTGTATTATTACATAGTACCTGATACAAAACCTGCTACAGTGTTTCTTTTAGGACTTGTACAGTTCTGAGAATGCCTAAAATTAAACTGAAAAGTCTGGTTCAAGCTGTGTAACCTGCCTCTGCGGCCTCGGGTATCCTGTGACCAGGATGAGTCACATCCCCTGTGCTGTTCAGGTGTGTCACCCAAGAGCCGTTCCAAGACTTCTCTGTGCAGAGGAATCCATGATAGGAGGCAGGCAAACTGATTATAAAGCACTTTTCTCTCCCTGAACAATCCTGCTACCCATGACAGCCGCTGAGTAATAAGCGACCAAGCTTCCTACCTGGGATGTTAGTCACAAGGCTTCTTGAGCAATCACAGGTTGGCTCTAAAGACCGTTGTGGGTCTCTGTCAGCACTTGTTTCTGTTGCCCAAGAAGATCCTTTCTGAGACCTCAGCAGGCATAACGGCTTCTGGAAAGCTCAAAAACCCAGTAACCTTGTTAGGAAATGTGAGTGAGAGTGCTCTGAGCTCAGGCCCACACAGGCCTTAACCGCTGACTTGGAATGGATAAAGCCAGCCTCACAGACCCAGTCTCTGTTGTCTTCTGTCTCCTGTACCCATATACTATCATGTATCACCTCAGTCAGTTGCTGCCTTGCTAGAATTTGGTCGTTGATTGCACAGGAGTCAGGTGACCAAGTATTAATGTAACCTCCTGTGTCAGAAACCACTGTGGACAACTAGAAGAGGCCACATGCCTGGTGGTGGCCTCCTCATGTGGCAAAACCACATCGCCTCACTCCCTAGCCCCACCGTCCTCCTCTGAGTCCAGTGTGCACGATGTGCTTTGCTTGGTGCGGGG